AAAGGGGTAATATCCAAAATATATAAGGAACTCATACAACTTAACAAAAGGTAGACAAACAATCCAATTAAAAAATGGGCAAAGAACCTAAATAGACACTTCTCCAAAGGGGACATACAGAAAACCAAGAGACATGAGAAAATGCACAAAGTCACTGATCATCAGAGAGATGCAAATTAAAACAATGAGGTATTACCTCACACCTGTCATAATAGCTACCATCAAAAAAAGAAAAAGAAAAAGAAAAAAAGAATAGTTACCATTAACAAATCAACAAATGACAAGTGCTAGTGAGGATGTAGAGAAAAGGGAATCCTAGTACACTGCTGCTGGGAATGCAGACTGGTGCAGCCATTATGGAAAATAGTATGAGTTTCCTCAAGATTAAATATGGACCTGCTATTTGACCCAGTAATCCCACTTCTAAGAATATATCCTGAGAGACCTGAAACACCAATCAGAAAGAATGTGTGTACCCCTGTTTATAGCAGCACAATTTACAATAGCTATAGCAGTACAACTTACAATAGCAAATATCTGGAAACAGCCCAAGTGCCCATCAGTAGATGAGTGAATAAAAAAGCTATGGTACATGTACTCCATGGAATACGATGCAGCAGTAAAAAAGAAGGTTCTCCTACCCTTTGAGACAGCATGGAGGGACCTAGAAAGTATTATGCTAAGTGAAATAAACCAGTCAGAGAAAGATAAGTATCCTATGATCTCACTCATATGTGCAATATAATGAACAAAATAAACTGATGATCAAAAGAGATCCAGAGTCATAGAAGCTTAGAATATACTGCGGAATCTCAGAGGGAAGGCGGGGGGACAGTGGGTGGGTAGGAAAAGATCAACCAAAGAATCTTTAATGCATATATGCATAACCCATGGATACAGAAATAGGGTGGTGAAAGCCTGAGCTGGAGAGTGGAGGTGGGTTAGAAGTGGTCAATGGAGGGAAAAAGAGGACATATGTAATACTTTCACCAATAAAATTTTTTAAAAATATATATATTAGGCTCTGACCAGCTAGCAAAGTTGGTTAGAGCATTGTCCCAATACTAGGTACATGAAGGTTGTGGGTTCCATCCATGGTCAGAGCACATACAAGAATACATGGATAAGTGAAACAACAAATTGATGCCGCTCTCTCTCTCTCCTTTTCCCTCTCTCTCCTCTCCTCTTCTCTTTCTCCACACCCTCTTCCTCTGTCTATAAAATCAATTAAAAAATATTTTATGTTACATTTGACAATAATACTCTTACTCTGAAAAATTATAAGCTTAATCAACTTTTACATTTTTACACAAGCTACTGATTAATGTCATAAAGTCCTCTACTCTCACTTAAAAGAAATTGTAATGTTTTAAGATATTTAAATATATGTGAGTAAGCGAATATAGATTTTCACTTTAATTTAGCTCCCATAGATCTAGACTTGATTCCTTCCTTTAGAACTTAAGAGAAACAAGTCAAAGCATCAATTATGAACGTAAAGTATTTCCTTTGTAATCAAAGGGAGAAAGAGCAGGCCATGTTTGCCTATAAGGAGTGATTCAAGTTATTTTTCAGAATAATACATAATAGCCCTGGCCAGTGTGGCTCAGTTGGTTGCAGCGTAGTCCCATGCATTGAAGGGCTGCAAGTTCGGTTCCCAGTCAGAGCACATACCTGGTTTGCGGGCTCAATCCCTAGTCGGGGCCCTACGGCAACCAATCAATGTTTCTCTCTCACATCAATGTTTCCCTCTCTTTCTCTCCTTCTCCCTCCCTTTTGCTCTAAAATCAATTTTAAAGAATTTTAATAGCCGGACTGGCATGGGTCAGTGGGTAAGCGTCTACCTATGAATCAGGAGGTCACAGTTCAATTCCTGGTAGAGGTACATGGCTGGGTTGCAGTCTCAGTCCCCAGTGGGGTGCATGCTGGAGGCAGCCCATCAATGATTCTCTCTCATCATTGATGTTTCTCTCTCTCCCTCTCCTTTCCTCTCTGAAATCAATAAAAACATATTTTAAAAAACTTTAATAATCAATTTTAAAAATGATAGTAATACATAATAGCCAACAGAAAAACATGACATTTGAAGGGGCGAGTAGATGGGAATTCAGAGGCACGCACTGAAGCCTGAAGCAGCTGTGTGATAGTGTGAGACTGTCCCCAGGCTGGCGCTCTGCTCTTACCGTTAGTGTGGCTGTGTTCTCATCATCTGACCACTGCATGAAGAAAAGAATAGAAAAAAACATTAAATGTAGATAATGTACTGGGCTTCCAAAAAAGCAGTACTCCATGTAAAATTTATACATAAACAGATGACATATTTTCCTGAACACAAAGTATCTATATATATAAAAAGCCAGTGACCGGAACACTGTAATGACTGGAACAACTGGTTGCTATGACACCCACTGCAGCCAGCAAACCGGCCCGATCTGGGGTGGGGCTGGCCAGCCAACCTCCTACCAGCCCCACCCCCAACTGCCCCCCCACCCCAATCGGGGGCAAGGCCCGCCAGCAAATAGCCCACGGCCCCTCCTGCCCGGACCTGACTGGGCCCCGATCAGGGTCAGGTTGGCCAGACCCCACCCATGCACGAATTGGTGCACTGGGCCTCTAGTATGTAAATAAAGGTATACATCAAAGTGAGATTTTCATGTAACTTCTCACTTCAATGAATATATGCTAAGAACTAAAGGTCAGAACTATCTCAGAGATCATTGAAATTAGAACAATCTACAGAACAGAGCAGAACCAACCTGTATTTCTTCTGCCTCATCATCACTGTCTGGCTGAGAACATGTTGGAGGATCTTCCCTAGAAGGACATGAAGCAAAAATTAAGAAAGAAAAAGGCTGTGTACCATGTAGTCAGAATTTCAGGTGAGTATGTAAAAAGCCTTTCAATTGAAGCATAATATTAGGAAAAGCCCACTTTTTGAGACAGAAACTAATAAAAACTAATATAAAATTAATGAGAGTACAACAAAGATGGCAGAATAAAAACTTTCTGCCCACTTTCACAAATCACTTAGAAATAAGGGAAAGAAAGCTCAAAGTCATCCTCTGGTAACACCAAGAATCATCCACAACTCTTGAGGCCAGTCGTGAGAAAGTGCTGCCAGAGACCAGGAAGGTCAAACGGGATGAAGGAAGACCCAGAGGAAACATGTGAAGAGCTGTTCTGAACAGCTGAGGGCAAGACTCCTTTGTTTATACAGTGAAAACAGTGTGTGGACTGGTGTCCAGAATTACCTGAGTCTGGACTGGCAACACAGAGAGGTACGGGGAAGAGAGTGAGAAAGAAATACTCAGACACACTCTCTTTGAAGAAGGAGGTATGGAAAGGAGGCATCTGTCCTTGCTTCCCCAAATCCTTCTCCAGCTTAACCCAGGGATGGAGGAAGCAGAGCAGAAAAGCAGGTAGCATGAAAGCCCACACCCCACCCATATTAACTGAGCACCTACTATGCCAGGTACTGTGCTGGGTGCTGAGGAAACAATGACTTAGTACAGGCCACCATGGAAAAGAGTTAAGTAACCACATTCGTTCATTCATTCACTCACTCAACAAATATTTGCTGAACACAGACTGTGATGAGTTATAAATGTAAACAAGACACGCTGAAGAGCGTTCAGCCGGGGGTGAAAAGAATGTCCCGTATTCGGAGGTGATGGGACAGGAAGCATGAAGAATCAGGAGCTAAAGCAGCCAACAACCATTTCCTCACTTCTCTGCTAAGAAAAACTCCAGCTTGTTCAGATATTAAGTGCCTCTGTGCCTCATGGACTTCCCCCCAATCACACAGTGACTACAGACCAGTCCCACCAATCATGGTTATTCCAACTCCTTGCCAAAGAGGGACCAAACCCTGACCAACAGTTGCTAGAGATCCCTGAGAAAGTTCACCCTGCTTTTAAAAAGGGACATGAGACAGGACCTCATTTATTCTTACCTTTGGATATGGTAGTGTGAGAACATGATGTCTGAAGCTACTACAACAACTTGGACTTCAGAAAGGAAAACCAAGAAATTCAGAGAAGCTAATTTCTAGTCCTAACATCACTGAAGTACTATATTTTTCCATAACTGCCATGCCTTCCGGCTTATTCTATATAATAAAAGCCTAATATGCTAAGTGTCTGCTCGTCCAGTCATTAGTTCAACCAATCAAAGCATAATATGCTAATGATATGCTAAGGCCGCTCAACCGCTCGCTGTGACATGCACTGACTACCAGGGGGCAGACAGTTGACTGGTCAACCAGTCGCTATGATGTGCACCTACCATCAGGGGGCAGAGAGCCGACCAGTCGCTATGGCATGCACTGACCACCAGGGTGACTCGGGCTGGTAGGTTAGCTTGCTGCTGGGGTCCAGCAGATGGACCCCATCTCCTGAGTGAGATGGGCCGGACATGCCCTGTAGCCCTCCCGTGCTCCCTCCATGGCTGATCAACCTCCCACGTCCCTCCCTGGCCCCGATTGTGCACTAGTGGGGTCCCTCAGCCTGGCCTGTGCCCTTTCGCAATCCGAGACCCTTGCAGGATGTCGGAGAGTCAGTTTTGGCCCGACGGCAAAACGACTGTTCACTATGATGCGCACTGACCACCAGGGGCAGATGCTCAATGCAGGAGCTGCCCCCTGGTGGTCAGTGCACTCCCACAGGGGGAGCACCACTCAGCCAGAAGCCGGGCTCAGCGATAAGGGTATCCCTTGAGGGTTCCCGGACTGCAAGAGGGCGCAGGCTGGGCTGAGGGACCCTCCTCCAAGTGCACGAATTTCATGCACTGGGCCTCTAGTAGTTATATGAAATAACATACTGGCCTCACTGTTTAAGCCATTTTTAAAGATGGATGTCTTAGTCTGTTCAGGCTACTGTGACAAAATAACATAGATGGGATAGTTTGCCAACAGAAATTTATTTCTCAGTTATAGAGGGTGGAAATCCAAGATGAGGGTGCCAGCAGGGTTGGGTTCTGATAAGAGCCCTCTTCTGGCTTGCAGATGGCCACCTTCTTGGTGTCCGACACAGGAGAAGGAGCTAAGAGCTCCGTATGATCTTTTATAAGAATGCTAATCCTAGTCATGAGGAGTCCACCCTCATGATACTGGTATAATCACCTCCCAAACACCATACCTCCTAATACCTAATATCTCTGGGGGTTAAGATTTAAATATATGAATTTGGGGGCCATACAAGCATTCGAATCATAGCAAATATTCTATTACTTGCAACCAAAATCATCCCAATTGACACATGGAGCAAACATAGAGGGCACTGTGTGTCAGGTGAAAGAGAATAGGTAAGAATCTGCACAGCAAAAAAACCACACTTATTTCATGGGAGCTGAAACTGAAGAAATTATATTCAGAGACTTTTTGTGCCTTTTATTTTCTATGTAACAAATAACTTGGAAACTTAGAGGAAAGCATTCAATTAGGAATTTTACTTTCTGGAACAAGGTACTTTACTACACTAGAGTTAAGAGCATAAACTGGTACAAGAGTGAAAGCTATTGGGCTATACTGGTCAAGAGTCTTAAACATTTTTATAACCTTAGATCTATAATTAGAGTCTATGATTCTTAATGTACAGAAATAATCGTAAATGCAAACAATGTTCTATATAAAAATGTTTGTGTTTTTTTGTTTTTTGTTTTAATATATTTTTATTGATTTCAGAGGGGGAGGGAGATAGAAACATCAATGATCAGAGAAAATCATTGATCAGCTGCCTCCTGCACGCCCCCTACTGGGAATCAAGCCTGCAGCCTAGGCATGTGCCCTTGACCACAATCGAACCCAGCAGGCCAACACTCTTGTCTACTGAGCCAAAACTGCTAGGGCCAAAAATGTTTGTTGAAGAATTATTTTTCAGTAAGGAAAAGTTGTAAATGACCTAAATATCCAACAACTATGAAATTAGGTCAATTACAGCAAATGCCTATACATGAAAATCTTGCAGTTGTTAGAAATAATGCCATTTTTAAAGCACAGAGAAAATTTATGCTATGGTGGTCAATGAAAAAAGTAATATGAAACTATATAGTATGTAGCACACCCACCACTTAGACTATAAAGTGTATTTAAAAAGACTAGAAAAAAAAGTGCCAAAATTTGAACTGTATTTGTTTTCAGAAAGTGGAATTATGGGTGATTTTTCTCTGCTCCTTCATTCTTCTATGCAGTTGTCAAGTTTACTACAATGACAAGTATTACTTCTATAATTAAAAAAGAAAGGGGCATATTTTACAAATGATATATTTCTAAGCATTCATATTGCTCCTCCTTTCCATGTTTCAGAATTAATCTTACATAAAAAAAGTCATACACATTCCCAGTCTATGCTTAAAAGAAAAAGAAAAAGATGCCTAATGAATATATCTCAATATCTAGAAATAACTTACTGGCCTACTCACAATAAAAAGACTATTCAATAATTCTAGTTCATTAACACCAGTGTATTTATTTGTAACTATACACCAAGCATGTCAAACTCACGGCCCACAACGAATATTTCTGCAGCCATGCCAATAAAACGGTGTGAGCAGTTATTTCCAATTATGAAAGGAAATAAGTCTCCTGTCAGATCCAGAATTACTGACATTCACCTTGGGTCAGTTTTGAAAGTAATCACTGTGAACAAGATTTTCCCTGAAGTAGGAAAGACACTAGCGGAGAAGAGATGCCAAGTGTCAGGAAGAAAACATTAATGTTATCATTGCTCTTATTCTTTTTTTATACTACACTTTTCTAAATAAACCTACGTTTCTATGAAAATTGAAGTTTGTGTTTTTTTGCAGCCCACATAAACTTAAACCTTGTTTATTTGGCCCATGTTAGTCTTTGAGTTTGACATACTAGCTATACACTATATCCCTTGATTCAGGGATATATTTCATATAATGGAGCTAAAATGTTCATATAGTAAAAGATGCAGCTGTGGTCTTCTATAAATAATACTTTAAACACACACACTCATTCAAAAAACTATTACTATCTGAACTCAGGGAGATAAAAAGATTAGTATAGCAAGGAACATACTGAGAGGGATACACATGTTAGCCCACATGCAAAACACAGAGTTTTTTTTGTTTGTTTGTTTTTTTAATATATTTTATTGATTTTTTACAGAGAGGAAGGAAGAGGGATAGAGAGTTAGAAACATCGATGAGAGAAACATCGACCAGCCGCCTCCTGCACACTCCCCATCGGGGATGTGCCCACAACCAAGGTACATGCCCTTGACCGGAATCGAACCTGGGACCCTTGAGTCCGCAGGCCGACGCTCTATCCACTGAGCCAAACTGGTTAGGGCCACAAACAGAGTTTTAAAAAGACATGTTTGGAGTGAGAAGGTGGTTCTCGCCCGTGTTGTGTGTGTGTGTAAGTGAGAAAGCGAGTGAGTGAGTGTGTGTGGGGGGGACTTGCTTGTTGTCGGTGACTTCCCCCTCCCCTCCACCCTTACCCCTTCTCTGGTGCTGCTGCAGTGGCTGCTCCCTGGGCCCTGGGCCATAGGAAATGAGCAATAACGATGACATCGAGGTGGAGAGCAATGCTGACAAATGGGCTCATCATAATGCACTGGAACGAAAGCGTAGGGACCACATCAAAGACAGCTTTCACAGTTTGTGGGACTTGGTCCCATCACTCCAAGGAGAGAAGGCATCCCAGGGCCCAAATCCTAGACAAAGCCACAGAGTATATCCAGTATATGCGAAGGAAAAACCACACACACCAGCAAGATATTGATGACCTCAAGCGGCAGAATGCCCTTCTGGAGCAGCAAGTCCGTGCACTGGAGAAAGCGAGGTCG